CAGAAGCAGACAGGCTGTCTAACAAACAAGCACATATAGTCTGAGAAACTGGGGGCAAGTACCACACTGTTCCTTAACATGAAATAAGGTGGCACCAGCATGCAAGGCCAAAGAAGGGGGCCTGAAAGTCCTGCTTTAAGAAGGGTGTGCGTGTGATGGACTTGGAATATGCTGACAGAACAAGATGTGGACAGTATGACAACCACAGAAAGAGAACAATCAGCGATAGCCACGGATGGAAAGTCATCAGGAGAGAAGAAGACGACAAAAACAGAAACTTGAAAGTAACAAAGGGCCCCTCCTCATCCTTGGCCTCTTCCTCGAGAGGGTCTCTGTCCCCATCCCACCATGGACAGAGGACACACCACCAGCCCATCTCTTCCACCCCACTAAAGGGGGAGGGGGCAGGGCTCAGCATCCCACCTCCAAACTGCTGACATCTGACACCTAAAAGAGAGCCTCAGAGTGAAGACTGCATCCTGGCCAGATGTACTTTGACTCTGATGACAGCCCTAGAATTGGTAGATATATAGTATTGATTGATTGTTTGTACCGTTTCTTTTCTGTTATCACTGTGTATGAATAAATTTGCCTATTATCAAATGGCAAGGTCGTGGTCTGTCTGAGGGTAGGATTCCCTGCCCCTGGAACAAGACATCTGGGGCCTAAATCCAGAGCCAACAACCAGGGCCTGGGACTGGCCCTTAACATCAGAAAAACAAAGGTGCTTCACCAACCAGCTCTGGGCCAGTCATCTCCCCCAGCAATGATCCTCACTGACAGCCAGAAGCTGAAGTATGTTGAACACTTTGCATACCTCAGCAGCCATCTCTCAAACAAGGCTAGCATTGATGATGGGGTCCGGTAGAGGATCCAGTGTATCAGCTCTGCCTTTGGAAGACTGAATCATCATGTGTTCAATTATCATGACATCAGGACTCGAACAAAGCCCCTATTATATAAGGCTGTGGTAAATCCAGTTCTTCTCCACAGCCATGAAGTTTGAGTGACCTACAGAGACCAGCTGAAAAGCCTGGAATGCTATTACCAGTGCTACCTCTGAAATATCCTTGGCATAAAATGGAAGGATTCTTGCACAAATGCCAGTGTCCTCACTGATGCTAACACCACCAGTATGAAAACATTGATTATTCAATATCAGATGCAGTGGACAGGGCTCTGTGTGTGCATGTCTAATGTATGTTTACCAAAACAACTGCTATAGTCCCGACTAAGCCAAGCACATGCAGGGCTTAGAGGAAACACTTCAAGGACACCCTCAAAGCGAAGTGAGGCATTGGCACTACAAATTGGGAAAAACTAATCTGGGAGTGGGTTACATGGTGACACCTTGTGAGAGAAGGAATATCCTTAAGGAAAATGGTCTCACCTTGTAGGCAGAAAAATAATAGAAATAGAAGGAAAAGAAACAGGACTGAGACATCTCTGGTCTGACTCACTCTTTAACCACCACCTGTGGCACTTGCCAGAGAGTCTGCAGCTGTAGGATCAGCCTTCTTAGCCATTAACGGACTCAATTACAACCCTTTACTTGACCCATGGATGTGATCATCCTCAACTGTGAGGGATCGCCACTGCTGCCAAAACAACCTCCTGTGCTGGGTCCCACCTACTGAGCTGAGGAGGCAGCTGCTGCCTGGAGCTGGTTGGGCCTCGCAGTCCCATGCCCTGCTGTGACTGTAGGAATCTTGGGCAGCACATGTCCCCCCCAACACCAGATGGATCACCTGTGACCCCCCACCCTCCCCACATCGCCTGTGCCCATATACCCCTTTCCTACACACTCACCCTGCTCCCCACACACTGGAGGTGGGGGGTAGGAGGATGGAAATGAGGGGTAACAGCAGGACCAGGTGGCTGTGGGTTGGGAGTAAGAAGCACTGGCGGGGCCCAGGGGGCTGTGGTTTGGGAGTGAGGGGCACCAGCAGGACTGGGGGGGGGCTGTGGGTCAGGAGTAAAGGGCACCAACCTTGCCTCTAAGGTTTAGCGATCCGTGAGCAATCCCGGCTGGGAGTGCGCTGGTATCTCAGTGTGCCCACCCCTCCCCACTCCTGCAGCAGCAGCCTATGGCTGGGGTGGGGGGGGGGGCCAGGCCTGAAACTGGGGGGGGGGGGAAAGAGCGTCAGCACCCCCTTGGTACACCACTGGGTGTCCCCCCCAGGTTGGTGCTTGGTGGCCATGGCCCCCTACTGCCCCCTCCCCATCAATATGCCACTGTGTATGTGGCATTAAAAAGTTATTGTGTGGCATGATTTTTTATTGCGCAAACATGCACGCACGCAGCTTAGAGGGAACTGTGAAGGGCACCAGCAGAGCCAGAGGGCTGTGGCTCAGAAGGGGAAACAGCTTAGATAGGGGCAGGGCAGCCATGTATCAGGGCTGCTCAGCACCACAAAGCAACATGAGGAACAATCACAGCTGGATCTGCAGCCTGGTGAGTGAAGGAGGCAGGGGGAGTTCTGATTTTCCATAAAACCAAAATCAAATGCCAAAATATACAGGTATTTAGAATTTATTTTATTATCATGACTGAGGCACTAGTAGGCTTCCAAATTGCTTTAAATTGTAAATATATCAATAAAACATCCTGTTCAACTGATGCTTATGTATATAGTGGCATTTCATTTAATTTTGGGAGTTTTACTCAGAGAATTTGCTATTTTAAACAGAGAAAACCAGGATCCCTTCTCATGAGCTAGATGAGATACCATGCTCATAATTACTGCAGTATCCAAGCCAGAGGCCTCCTTATATGCAAACATATGCTGAGACTTCCTCTGTGCCAGTTGGGTTTTTATTCCACTCTACACCCACCACAGTGGAAGTGAATAAATACCAATTTTAGCCTAAATTGAACCCCTTTAACTAGAAGGACAAAATCACTAAACATGAACCATGACAATTTTTTAGCTGCAGTTTAACATTAGTAACATCTCTGTTCCTTTAACGGAAGCAGCAGCCTAGCCAGGGAGCACTGCAGGCTAGGCAGGGCACCACAGCTGCAGGTCACTGGGCAACAGGCTAATGGAGCAAAGAGCAGGCACCTGCGGGTAGTCTGCTGACCAGATGTAAGCAGGGATCTGGAACTCATAAGCCCAAAGCTGAGGCTGGCCAGAGGGCAGGGCAGGGCAGGGCAGGGCAGGGCATGTCATGTCCTCCCTGGCAGCCCCAGGGGAAGGAGCTTCCTGCTCCTGCAGGAACAGTGGGGATCAGAGCTCACAAAGAGCCCAGGACACTGTAACAGTTGAGTGAAAACCTACACTATTAAAGCGGCAGGGGACAATTTTATTTTCAACATTTATGTTATGTTATAGCCAGGGGGCTTAGGTTTACAGAAGCCCCATTTGTGCCCATGGGGCACCTGATAGCTTTGAGCACTGCCAGGGGCAGGCTCAAGGCTACAGTCAGTACTAAGCCCAGATCAGGCATAGTGCAAAGCAAGGGCCAAGGGCCCAGTGACCAAAGGCACAAATAAAAGCTAGAGCCTCAAAACCAGGTCCAATTCAGTGGGCCCAGGCTAGAAGGCCTAGCAACATTAAAGGGGCAGAGGCTGAGAAGGCCAAAGCCCCACACAGGGAACAACATTGCAGAGGCATGGGGTGTGGTAAAGAGGAGGATTTAGAGCCACAGTAAAAGCCCTTAAGGCTTTGGGTGCCCTGCCAGGCACAGTTGACCACAGAGGCCCAGCAAGGGGCCTAGGATCACAGATGCCCAGCAAGAGGCTAAGGATCAGGAAGGACTAGTAGGGTGCCAGGGACCCTAGTGTAAGTTCAATGGAACTGGGGCCAAGCAAACATCCATAGGCAGCCTCCCCCTCATTATTCTATCAAAGCGTGGCAGGTGAGACAGGAAGGCGCCCTTGGGGCAGAGCAGGACATGGTCACAGCCATCCCCTGGGACCCTGACATGCTACAATTAGCAAAGGACATGCTGCGGTCTTGCAGCTGATCATAGGGGTTAGGAAAATTGAAAAAAAATCCTCTGCTGAAGTTTGAGCAGGGCCCATCCAAGTCAAGAACATTTTGAAAGGTTCTAAAATTGAAAGCATCTGAATAACGAATACCTAGGCTGACTCACCAGCAAGCAGACAGGTAATGCACTGCTATGCAGAGCAGCCAGGTTCTGCAGTCATCTTGCTACCTATGCAAGCAGAAAACTGAATGCACTGCAACTGCCGCATTTGGAACAGGGGCTCATGACTAATCTTAGGAATTCATCTTCCCTCAGTGTACCCAGAGGTCTTCCACTAACATGAAGCAGGTTTTATATATATGCATGTACATGTTTTGGAAATATATTTCATTATACACAATTTCAAAGGCTAAATCCCAGAGAGATGAGGAACAGGCTCCTGAGGATGTTCCTTTCCTCAGTTATTTATCTGACTCCAGTAACTAAGATTTACAGAGTAAAACATTTTATAAAAAGGAGATACTTAAACAAATCCACTGTGGACTTATCAGCTCTGGTGGTCCTAATGCTTTGGCAGCTTTAAGGAGTAAAATAAATTCACTTCTAGTGGACAACACCTGCCCCTCTTCTAAACTGTGTAGAGGGGTAACACAATATACCTGAGAAATCAAGAAACTCCTGTGGATAGAACGGAACAGCTGGTTCCACTGCGTTGTCCTCACGGACATCAATGCCACAGATAACCCGGGGAGTAAGTGGCATTCTGTGGCTCCAGTAGTGTGCAGCAGCAGCTACTGTATCACCTGCTTTCAAAACTCCACTCCAGCCTGTCCTTGCAGTGGGTGTCCACAGCTCCACACAGCTCTTGAGACATCTATGGACGAGCTAAGATCCACAGACAGCAAACCCTCCCCACCATGACAGAATGACTGCACAACACTAGGAGTGTTATCAGTAGCTTCATAACACAACACAAGCTGCGTAGAAAGGAGCAGCTTCCTCCTATGACAGAATGAGTGCTAAAGACACACAAGGTTTTACTGTGGCCTATTTCATTTCAATTATTTTAGGGTTTGCAATAAAAACAAAGAAATGGTAAATCAAAGGCATTTTCTTCCCCATTTCTTTTGAAGTCTGTCTGACATGTCTAGGACCATGTTTTACAAGTTTTGCTAAAACTATTTAAGTGTTTTACACACTACTGGGACAAGGAGGAAGGGATAACTATAACAAGACTTCAGTATCTCACAGGCTCTGTGAGCTCAGGAGAGCCAAGCAAATCCATACATAAAACCAGGGCATGTTTTGAACTAAAAATCAAGCAATTTAAATGTATAGTTTTAATTTCAGAACAATGCTTTAAAATTCACGTGATGCTAAGTCAGTGACAATCCAAGCAGAAAATGCTGTTGGAATAACCCAAACAGATCAGATTCAGGCTGTGATATGTGTTAATGGTTGCGACCACGGCTAGATTCAGCACTCTCAGTTCTCTTTTTAAAAATAGGTAGAGTACATGGGGCAGACATATAAAGTTCCCCTCAATGCCCCACCAGACCAAGCAGGCCCATTTCTAGGACAGCATGTAATTTTTTTTCTATGCCAATTACATCTATGGCCTCTAGGCTGAGACTGAACAAGGGCAGTGAAGAATGCAGGGGCTCACAATTATGTTGTCAGTTTTTGTGATGAGGACATTTGTTCACCAGGAACTAGACTGACAAGACTGATTTCACACAAGTCAGATGGTAACTGCTTTGTCACTGACAGTGACGGCTATGCCCAACCTTCCAGTGAAAGCACAGTCTGCCTGACCTACTGATGTGCCTTCTCTGCCAATCAACTCAAATGCTTGCAGCTTTGGAACAACAGGAATCAAAAAATATAAAAGCAATTTTATAAAGTGCTAAACGAACTGCTCTTATATTTTATTCTCCAAAATAGAGCACCCCTCAGGAAAATGAAGCCATCTATTTGCAAAAGAGTGAACACAAAAATCTACCCAAAAGCTAAATCCATGGAGTGAAATTAAACTATTGCTGTTATTTCTTCCACATCAAATATTACAAAGTGACATTTCAAAGTTATCCTTCAGTTTTCTCTTATACTGGATAAGTAATTATCTTTAATATAAACAACTAAAATATACAGACAAGCATATATACACACACACACACACTACATTATACTACAGATCACCAGCAGTGCTTATGCAGCAATCACTGGACAGGAACTGATAGTCGAAAGTATACTTTTTTTCCCATCTATATACTGAAAATTCTATTGTTTCAATGTTTCACCTAAACAAGTTATTCTGAAGATACCTACCAGCACAACATTGGAGGTATCTATAGGAAGGGTTAAAGTATTATTTCTGTGGTAGGTCAAGGGTGAAAAAACCAAAAGACATGCTATGCCCAGTCATGTTATAAAACATTACAGAAGAAAACTGAATACCCAGTAGAGGAACACAACAAAGAAGAGGCGGATTCAGTATTTCCATTACTGGTGTTGGTTATAACCCCAAAACAATCAATGATTACTGCCGCTGTAAATCTGCTTACTCTTAAGGCACTCAAACGAGTAGCAGCGTTTGCACTGAACACAGAAGTAGGTTACCATTTTAACATTGGAGCATACATTCTTCTCCATTGTCTTTTTACTTACTTACCTTTCAAATACCAAGCCACCCAACTTAAATCATCTTCAAAATATGTCTTATATGAAGGCTGTGTGTCCCAGAATGCTTACTGCTGTCATGGGTAGACCAGGTTTCCACCTCAAGTCAGAAAGCTCTTTTAACCTAGATCCCAAGTTAATGAGGAAATTAAATAAGTTTTCTTACCAAAGATCATACTTCGTAATGTACTAAATACATACCTCTTCCCAAACTCTCTCACTGATTAAATTATTTTGAAGCAAAACAACAGGAAGGACTACGGATCTAGATTCATAGTTTACATTTTTAAACCATTCATCAAAATGGAGCATATTAAAATGGGGTATTACCTCAGTTGGGTTTAAGATTAAAACTGTAATGTGAAGCATAGTAAGCTGCATCCTTGCCTTAGTTTAGCTATTCTTGTAAAGCACTTTTGCAGCCCCTCAAAAAAGGTTGTCAATTTTTGAAAAATGGAAAGGTTGTTCAGTTTTTTACCCAGGAATCAAGCAGGCTCCCTATAAAGAGCATCTCTTTAAAAAGCTAGGTAAGTTTTAAAAAGGACATTTCATGAAACAAAGAAAATACATTTACTCTACAGATTATACACATGTTGTTCAGGGAAATTACAGTGTGTTCAAATGTAAATTTATAAACTTTATAAAGGTAGGAAACACAAAACCATTCCAGAAGACTCAACGCCAACTTTGGGATAAGAAATACAGAAATCATCACAAGAAATGAGATGGGGACAGGGAAGCAAAGTCATTGTCCGTTTGTTCAGATGCTCTCCCTGAAGAGATATTAAAAATCTGCATCCAAAGTGAACACGTTGTCTGTTGTCTCTGTCATTACAGCAAAGCGCTGATACTCTGAAACCCGCTTCTCAAAGAAGTTGGTCTTTCCTTCCAGTGAAATATTCTCCATGAAATCAAAAGGGTTTTCTGCGTAAAAGAACTAGGGAAAGCAAATTTTGTTATTCTGGAATTCACAAAATGACAATGCATATACAACCTCCTCAGGGAATAATCTGCAAAGCAGCCAATTAGAGCTCCTCCCACTCTTGGTAGGAGTAAAGCCAGAATTTACTAACTTCTCAGGTTGGTTTCTCTCTCCTCACCCCACCAATCCTTGCTACTGGCACTCATGAAGGAAGCACAAGATATCATATGAAACACAAGTGAACTTGTTAATGTGCATACAGCATTCACTTGAGAAAGGCCATGCAATAAACTTCACTTTTAACCCATTAAAACAGCATGTATATCATATATACCAGGGATATACAGCTACTCCTTGTTTAATGTTGTAGTTACATTCTTGAAAAATGCGACTAAGTGAAACGATGTTAAGCTAATCCAATTTCCCCATAAAAATGAATGTAAATAGGTGGGGTTAGATTCCAGGGAAATATTTTTCGCCAGACAAAAGGCATTATATACCTGGGTCTACAGTCCTCTACCCTTATTCCCCCATGCTGCGGCCTCGGACAGGGTGGCTCCCCGCTGCCGTACACACTCCCAGGGGACAAGGGTGACCCTTGACCCCCAGATCTGTATGCAGGGCAGGCACAGGCTGTGGGTTCCCACCCTGCTTCCCTGCCCCGGGGCCTCTGCAGCCCTGCAGACAAAACTCAGAGTGGCTGGGGACAGCGGTGCCACGTGGGGATCACCTCGCTGCTGCAAGTTCCCCCGCCACTGCCCGGGTGATGCACCCTCTGCGCCTGCCACTGCTTTGAGGGGCGCAGTGTGCAAGAGGTGCATCACCAGGGCAGCATGGGGCGAGCAGCAGCAAGAAGATCCCCATACGGCTCCTCTACTCCGGCTGTCCTGGGTCGCAGGGAAGGGAAGCAGGGCAGCGGGGAACAGCAGGCCCATGCCAAGAAGCTGCTCGCCACTGTTCCTTGCCGCCTTGCTTCCCTTCCCCGTGACCAAGCACAGCAGGGAGAAGAGGAGCCAAGTGGGGATCTCCTCACCACTGCTCACCCCGTGTTGCCCTGACAACGTGCCTCCTGCGTGTGGGGCTGCAGTGAGGTCAGCGACATAGGGCTGCACCCCTCAAAGCAGTGGTAGGCGCCACTGGGTTGTGCCTGCAGAGCTGCAGCAGTCGCACGGTGGAAGCCTGTGCCTGCAGCCTGCCTCACGCACAGATCTGGTGGTGTGGGTCCTCCCTGCCCCACAGGAACATGCAAGGCAACAGGGAGCTGGCCCTCCCTCTCCCCCCAACAAGTCACCCGTGGTCCCATCCTGCTCCCCACTGGGGCCCCGCAGCACATTGCAGCTGCGGGCCCCAAGCCCCACCTGCCTGAGGCTTTGGGGCGGGGGGGTCCAGCCCTGCCCAGCTCCCTCCCTACAGGGGCCTCAATCCCCCACTCCCTCCCACTTAGCTGCTGGAATTGTTCTGTAGGCTGCCTGGGGCCACATGCATGTCTATGCACGTGCCACCCCTGTCTCACCATCTTCCTCCTGCTCCCTCCCAGTTCCCTGCAGGCTGAAACTCTGCCAGCCTGCATGGAGCTCACTGCAAAACAGCAAAATCTGCAGGTTTCTCTTGTAAAATGAGAAATCCACGTTTGCCTCTGGTAAAAGGTAAAATCCACTGATTACTCTGTTTTTCTGGTGGCCAAACAATGTTGTAACCAAACACTGCATGACTTTAAACGAGTATGTTCTGTAATAGATCAGCGACATAATGATGAAACAACGTTAACCGGGACAACATTAAGTGAGGAGTACCTGTACATATACATACCATTTACAGACAAGGTATATTGATGAATGATTTTCTACTGGACATTATTTGCACCAGTGTACATGTAGCATAACTCATCTCTAAACAACCACCACCAACTTATTTCTCACCTGTTCATTTTTTGTTACTTTAAAGAATGCCCAAATTCCTCTAAGGTAATCACTATCACAGCAAATGGTTTACTCTTGGGTCACCAGAAGACTTAGTTATCCTCATGCAATTAATATAAATGCTTGGATCCACAAAGATATTAACAAAAAAATCCTAGTCCTACTTAGAGTATATCCATGTTGTTCTGGTACATCTGAATACAACATACCATTCCTAGTTTAAAATCCATATAGTAGCTGTAGGGAAACAACAGCCAGAAAAAAAGCTGAAATTGCCCTTACTTGTTTAAAAATTTAAATGCTAACATTGTTTTTTCTGATAAACAGCTGAAAGCATGACTCTACAGCATTAAATGCGACTGACCCTCATGCACACAGCAACATCCCAGACACCCAGTGTACCCAGACATGCCGTTTCTCTCTAGTTTCTCACCTTTGAGAAGCCAAGTTCTACAAGTAATCGGTCTGCCACAAATTCAATGTATTGTTTCATCAATATGCAATTCATTCCAATCAGACCTACTGGTAAAGCCTCTGTTAAAAACTCCTGGAAATTAAAATACAATGGTGACATTTAGAGAAGGGACAATGCAACTTAAGAAGGAAAATAACACTCATCAATGGTAATTCAATTTGCAATGCTCCTATTAAATCAGACTCCAGGGCTGTTTACCACTCAAATAACCTGCATCACTGAAAACTCAGCTAGTCTCTCTTGTTTTCATTAGCTCCTCACACTTGCCTAAATTTTCTTCACACATGTTATGTAAAGAGACAGCATCTGCACAGATGTTTTCATTATGGGACAGTAAGCCCATGATGGATCAATAAGGTTGATCAGAAAAACTTGCCATCCAGTTCGCTAAGAATTGGATCAGACCCTGTAGGTCAGAACGCAAAACTAAATAGGCTTAGAAGCCTGATGTATCCATTATGGAATGAAGCATAATCTTACAGTCAACTGGTTGTGTCAATGTGGGGACTACCCACCAACAGTTAAGCCATTAGAGCAGCACCTGTCAGTACAATTAAGAGGGGCAAGGGCACTTTTAATTTTCCAAAAAAGAGTACCAGGTAAAATCACAGCACAAAGGGAGTCTATAAGAGTAATATTAAACTGCTACCGAAATGAAGTACATTGGTACACAAACATACTGCCAAAGCAACAGTAACTGGACAGCAACAGGAACTAGAACAAAACCACCACTTCCTTGACCAGCATATGACCCAAGCATTTGCAGGTAACTCATCATCACCTGACTAGTCCTGACAAGAATTGCCTTTGCCCTTTAATTTGAGTGGCAAGAAGGGGTATTAAGAGTGGCAGGGGAAAGCTGCTAGAACTGATCACTGGTCCATAATTGTAGCCTGTCATTTTTTTGCGATTCTAATAATGCTACTGTCGGGTCTTGGCATGTGAAAATGTTCTTGCTCTCCATGCCATTGCTCTGCCCAGTCTTACCTGCTCAATTTCAACTGCATTAACAATGATCTCCTTGACCCTCTCTTCTAAAGGCCTGTTCACTAAATAGTGGAACATTAGGCATGCAAAGTCACAATGGAGACCCTGGAATAGTAAAAGAATTAAAAAAAATTAGTTCTTCCTTTGCCTTGCAATTTGTTAATAATTGCACTGATAACCATCTCTCTTGCAGGTTTTAAGCTTTCTAACTTCCTGCTTTATGGTGCAGTTGACACTATTGCATTTATCATACCATTAAAGGGTATTACTGTTAACTGGGCAAAAACATAAACAATATTTAAAAGCCACTGCAAAATGTCTTTTTGAGAGAAAGAAAAGGCATGCAACTCTCTCCACCTTATGCATACTTAAATATTTTGAGATATACCTTTACTATGAAGGATACTATATTAAACCAGGTTTTTGATACTGTATAAAACCAAGTTTGGTTCTACACTCCTATTAACAAAACCTTTGCAGACCTACATTAACATCAGACACATTAAAAGTATACACCTGTAAATTTAAGTGGGGTACACTCATGATTCTGTGATGCACTGCGTGAGTGTGTTTAATTGGCAGATTTTCCCCCTCTCTTTTGCTCAGAGAACTTCCAGAGGAAGAGGCTAGTTTAACAAAAACAGGCTCATTACCAATATCAGATTTACAGCAATCAAACACAATAGGCTGTTAGCCTACAGAACTCACTGCCCAAAATTTATATATGTGAAGAGTTTAAAGCCAGAAAAAACCATCCAGTCACCCACTCTAACGTCGTTCAAAGCACAGGGATTTCACAGTATAACCTCAGGTTAAGCCCCACAACTCGCATCTGGTTTAAAAGTAACATTCAGAAAGGCATCCAGTCTTGATGTGACATTATCAAGATGGAGAATCCACCCTTCTCTTTGCAGTTTGAAGCTGATTAACCACTAGAATGCTCTTGCAAATGTGTGTCTGATTTTCAGTTTTAATTTCCTTTAGTAACTAATAAGTAATGTTTCCTTCATGAAGTTGTACTTCCCTATTGGAACCCAGGTAACCACCAAGAATTTAACAGCAATAAAATTTAAAAAGATTAGATAAAATATGCATCATGAGACTATCCAATAGCAAGGATTAAAATAAATCAAACCACCAAGAGTTTTACGAGGGTTTAAAAAATCCTCATGCTCAGAGCATAAGCCACTCATGTCTGAATGGGAGTTAAGAAGCAGAGTTCCTTGAGAAAGTGTGCTTCTTCACTGCCTGCTGTAAGGCTTCTTGCCTATTCCTTTGATTCAGTTGTCACAGACCTGTTTGCTAAAGACGACACTGGACTAGGCTGATTAATTGTGGCAATTCCAGGGTTCTCTTAGCTGACATTTAAATAGGGCTTGGGGAGTTATTTTTTAAGTGTGAAGCTGTATCTTGAAAGGAAATGGGTGAAGAGTCTCTCTACAATAATGCTCCATTTGGTGTTGCCCACAATTTAAATCAGGGGTGGGCAATTATTTCAGCTGGAAGGCTGCTTAACAAGTTTTGGTTAGCTGTTGAAGGCCTCAGGGTTGGCCCAACCCCTTGAAAACTGCTCCAACCCCATCTTAGGACCAGAAGTCCTGCCCCTAACCCCTGACCTTTGCTGGCAGAAGTCCCTCTCCTTTCCCCTGGAAGTACTCCTTTTGGGAATGGGGTTTGCCATCTTGGAACTCGGGGGGAGGGGGGACAACAAATTATATACTAAAAATTAAATGTTCATGATAACATATTTTAATTTTATTTAAAAAAAATATTTTTGTCTTGATTTTTTTGTGTGCATTTGTGTTGTGTAGATACAGATGACTGCATAATAGCTCAGAATTAAGTCTTACTCTTGTATATTGGGGGGTGGAGGGGTGTGGGGGGAATGGATGGGTGTGGTTAGGTGGGTGGGGATCAGGTTTGTGGGGGGCTGTGGGTGTGTGGATGTGTGCATATGTGGGGTGTGGGGGTATGTGCAGATGTGGGCGAGTGGGTATGGGGGGGTTGTGAGGATGTTTGGGTGTTTATGTGGATGGGTATGGGGCTTGTAGGGGGCTGTGGGATGTGTGGAGGGGGAAGGTGGCTGGGCAGGTGTGTGGCTGCATGTGTGTGATGGGGTGTGTGCATGTAGCAGTGAGCAGGGCTCCCCCCAGAGGTGAATGGGTACATGTGGGGAAGTGTGCAATTTCTGGGGGGGGTATGGCAGAGGGTGTGTGTGGATGCAGTGTTTGTGGGATGTGTTGTTGTGTGTGAGGGAGGATGTGGCTGTGGGGGAGGGTTTCTGGGCATGGTGGCCTGTGCACGGGAGCCCCCTTCATGCACCCCCTTGAGCCAGTCAGCACTTGCCCCTGCCCCACAACAGCCTGAGCTGATGTACCCTGTGGCACCTCTCAGCCACTGCCAACAGTGCACAGCCCCAGCCCTCCCTGTGCCTGCTCTGCACTGGCAAGCCGTGGCAGATCCTGCCACTCCCTGGGCATACTGAGAGACTACGGTGGCTCCATGGCTGGATTGTCTTTTTACGCAGCCCAGGTGGTGGCAGCTCCTTCTGGTTGCTGCTGCCACTGGCCCCCACCCTGCAGTACCAGCAGGGACCAACACATGCAGCCCTGACTCAGCACATTCCGCGCCTGCTCTGGACTCGCCTGTCTGGGCTGACCAGCAGCGGTGGCTGCTGCGCATAAACTGTTGCTCAGCATGGGGAAAAAGTGTCCCTTCCCCCTCACTGCTGCCAGGCAGTTCTTGTTGCACCCACCCAGAGCCCACACCATACCAGACAGCTCTGCATCTCTGCCATCGTCACTGCTGCCCTGTGGCTGCTCTCTACTGTCACTGCTACCCCACTGGGTAGCCCAGAGGCAGCAGCGACAACAGCAGAGACACAGAGCAGCCTGGCATGGTGCAGGCTCTGGGCGACTGCAGCAAGAACTGCCTGGCAGCAGCTACGGGAAGGAGCCACTTTTCCCCTACGCTGAGCAACAGTTTCTGCCTGGCAGCCACCCCTGCTGCTCAGCCCAATAGGCGAGTCTGGAGCAGGTACAGGGCACACCGGGTCAGACCTGTGCATGTGGGTCCCCACAGGACTGAGGTGGTGGTAGCCAGAAGAAGCCGCTGCCACCTGGGCTGCCTACAAAGGCAATCCAGCTGCAGAGCTGCCCCAGCCCAGCTGCATGCCCAGGGAGCAGCAGGGCACTCTAGCTGGGCAGCACCTGGACCAGGTGGGACCAAGGGACTTGCTGTAGGCCGGACAAAGCCCCTCGATGGGCTAGGTCCAGCCCACAGGCTGTATTTTGCCCCACCCCAATTTAATTATATACATTACAAAACAACCCAGAGCGTGGTTTTCTATACAGGATTTTAATTCCTGGTTTTCTGTTGCTCCTGTTGTAAAAATATGTTTTGTGCACAGTACTTTTACTACAATAAAAAAAACACACTTTGTTCAAATTAGGTCACTCTAAATTGAACAGGTTAACTATTTTTTCAGTGTTGAGGAGCACCTCAGTTGGACCTACTACATTTGGAACATCCTACATCACATTAATTTGAAATAAATTTTCCATAAAATATTGGCTGAAGAACCAAGTACAGGTTTTCCCTGCAGAAACAGATGTGATGACACCTAGTAAGAGAAAAGACTAGAAGCTGTTTGGTGGTACACTGTATATTTTATAACTTGACAAACCATGAAAGCTGCCTGTAGGTTGGTCTGACCCTTGCTTAATTTTCTATTTATATTATGTTCTTCAGTAGACACCTTCAGCCTTTTATCATGTGAAATGTCTTCTTCTAAGTTAAAGTAACTGTGCATTAGTGGCTACTTCCTTATGAGGGAGTTCTTTCCATTCTCAGGCCAACTCTAATTGGTTCAAGTATTGCAATGCAGGTATTCTGGCAGAGGAGAAAATCAGAAAATCCTTCAGATTTTTATTACGTATCATTTTCTAGTAGCACCATGAACTGTGGTGTGTCTTGCAGGCAGGCCACATCCAAGGGGAGCAGACACCAATTTCCAGGGAGTGTTCCAAAGGATGGTGAGAAGAGAATGAGAAGGAGGGAAAGGTGCATGTCACAACACTGACTGGTGTATTCAATACAAGAGATGCTGGCAGGGAATAAAGTTTCTTCTGTTCACAGTGAACTGGGATTTTGCTTCTCTCATTCTTTCTTTCCCTTTGAAGCTGGTTGTAGCTCAGTGATTCTCAGCCAAGGTGCCCCAGCACCCTGGGGTGCCTTGAGATCCTTTCAAGAGTTCCACAAAATGTTAGCACTAGAGGTACACCGATACATTGGTCCATATTGTATTGGCACCGATAAAAGGAAAATTGACATTATTGGCAATTGTCTTTTTTGGCTGATAATGTCATCGATAAATGCCAAGTTCATGTGCACAGCCGCAGCATGCATAGAGCCAGGAGTGCAACCCAGCAGCTTGGAGAGCAGCGTCTGGCTGGTAAGTCTGTTGGAGGGAAGGGAGGGAAGGGAAGGGGGGGGCAGATCATAGACCCTGTGGTGAGGGAGGGAATGGGGCTGGAGTAGTCGCTGCCCAGCCAGGGTGGGGCAGGGGGAGGGGGGGGTGGCAGTTCCTGCTGCTATGCGCACCCCCGGGGGAGGTATGGGGGGCATGTGCCCCACCCCCTGGATCTCTGCACGGGGCAAAGATAGGCTGCTGTTACAGGCTGGGGTGGCACCGGACAGGCAGTGGTGGCGCTGGGAGGAGGGGTTCGGGGTGGGGGGGGCTATACCCAGCCCTCCCCTGCCAGAAAGAGCCTGGGGCTGGCCCCAACCCCAGTTCGCCAAAGCAGCCCAGATATGCCACTCAAGGCTCCGTCCTGCACCATGTCCTGCCATGGCTGGGCAGCACCTGCCCCTGCCCCACTCCCTCCCTCACCGTGGGGGCCTTGATCTGCCTCTCTGCCCCCCCAGATTTACCAGCTGGACGCTGCTCTCCAAGCTGCTGGGCTGCATATCGGTAATCAGATTGGTATCGGCCGATATGGTTCATTAATAATTGGCCACCGGTAGTGGCCCAAAAAATCTTTATCCATGCACCCCTACTTAGCACCATTAAGTTTACAAACATCATTATTCACAAGGTAAGCCCAGAGATTTCAAATAGGAATCCATAGTGTCAAAAGCATTCTGACTTGCTATGGTCTTTCTGAGTTTTTGGAACAGAAAAATTGATTTATTACTTAAGTGAAAATTAAGAGATGGCATATGCACAGGGGGTCCCCCTCAAGTCTGAAAAGGCTGAGAACCACTGTTGTAGCTGAACAGCTTTACCTGGGATGTCAAGTATTCTTGTTGGGGAACACATTGGCACTTTAATTCCCCTTAACCATGTAACTGCCACCACCTAGTGCAGCGGTCTCCAACCCTTTTAAGGTGAAGATCACTTTTTGAAGTAAAGGGCAATCCAGAATCTACTGTGCTCCCTCCCCACACCCTGCCCAGCAGATCAGTCTGGTGCAGGGGAGGGCCAGATTGAGGCCCCCCGCAGTGAGGGAGGGGGTGGGGCAGGGGTGAGGGGGCCCAGCCCAGGCTGGGCGAGGGTCAGAGCCCAGGCGCCTCGTCCAGGTGCGCGGGGCAGGCTCCCACCGCTCCACGCACCCCAACAGAGGCTTGGGGGCACATGCTCCCCCCAATCTGTGCGTGGGGCCAGGTGGCTATTGCTGCGCATTGGGCTTTGCACCCTGAGCCCCAATGGAGGCCTGGGAGGCATGTGCTCCCCCCCAATCTGTGTCTGGAGCCAGGCAGCTGCCACTGTGCATTGGGCTTTGTGCCCCAAGCCCTGCTGCAGCTCGAGGCGCAAAGCCCAAAGCACAGCAGCAGCTTCCTGGCCCCATGCACAGAATGGGGGGAGCATGTCTTTTAAATATAGTTTGGAAAGGGCTTTCTTCTACACAGGATCTCACTCCTTCCGCAGCCTAGAGTCATTATATCCAACCGGACTCCAGGATTACCATGCTTCCTAGGCCTATGGTAGAAGGAAGGATGCCCATCTGTGCAGAGGACATGCCTCTCCTGTGGTGTCACCACACTACACATAAAAGATATGACTAAAACCCTATGAAGAAGCTAAAAGTGTGGAGGGGATGCCATAGATGTGTGACAGAGTTGGGAGAGGCAGGGGAACCACCACCTCTCCTCTAGCCAGGATGTACTGCCTCTCCTCTAGTCAGGATGCAGACCAGCTCCAGAGCCACTGTGATGCACAGGATGAGTATCACAGAAATAAGACCTTTGCTTTCTCCCTGCCCCTCCAACCCTAACAGCATCAAAAGAGCTTCGCCATAGTTAGTAACTCATTCCACGTCACTGATGGATTCCCTTTCCCTCCTGGCCATGTGCTCCCCTCACCTGCTTAAATGATTTCTTCCCTTCCTCTCCCCTTTCTCTTTGGCACTTGCCACTCTCCTCCCCAGCTTCCTTCTATCCCTGCAGTCAGAGGTGGGCCTCTGTCTACAGTTAATCCATAGGACTGCAGGGCTCCACTTGAAGTATATGAGGGCAATAGCACAGCACGAAAAGGGGACACCATACAGGTAAAATTCTGCTGCTCCCCTCTGGCCTGGCGATTCACTTTCTGGTGCCACATTATGGCACTTAACAAGCTCAGAACATGTGTAATGCTCTATGTATTACCTCATCTCTGCTAATGAGCTCATTGGAGAAAGTCAGTCCAGGCATCAAGCCTCTCTTCTTCAGCCAAAATATGGCAGCAAAAGATCCTGAGAAGAAGATTCCTTCCACTGCAGCAAAGGCAACCACTCTCTCCCCTGTTGAATACAACACACTTGTAGTTAGACATGGTCCAGATGTGCTGTTTGTTGCAACAAAAACATGCAGACAGCAAATCACACTAATCATCCCCATTAACACATCCCTGCAATGCAGCCACATACACACTACACAAGGTAACAGGAAAAACAGTCAATGCCTATTTGAAGCAACACCTGGTCAGAGCAACATCTCACCTAAAAGTATTTTCTTACTGTGCGTTCAGGTGACACTTCCTAATACAGCAACCACAACTGAGGAGTAATAATACAGTACACAAGCACAGACATGTCACTACTTCCAGGCATTAACTGGATAGGATATCCTAATTAAATTGTCACTACAGTTTCAATCACCCAAAGCAGGCAGGACATCAGGCCTATACTACTTGCTCCTCCCGAGAGAAGGAGAGATGGTCTGTGATATGGACAAGATTCAGTTCTGGATTTCTTAGAGGTCTTTGGCTTCTGCATTTCAAGTTCTGGTACAAGGGGGAAAATATTTTACTGCCTAACGGGGGCAAGGCAAGATGCAGTTCACTAGGATTAGAAAAGAACTTTGCATTCATATTGCATCTTCCATCTGAGGAAGCTGCAGCATTTCCACACATAACACTGGAAAAACAGATTACAATTTTCAGTGTCTGCAAATGATCTGAATGTGTTGTGCCTCAAACAACAACACCACCTCTCAGTGAATGGTAGCCACTAACACCATGCAGGGTTATTGCAAAACCCCCAAAAAACATGCTACCAGCACTGCTTTTCCAATGTCCTGAGTGAGCCTGGAAATCTCCCATGCAGATCAGGCACTGACTAGCCTTCAGCCTGCTTCACTTCTGAGATTTAAAAAGCAAATAGCCCAAGGCATTATGGCTACACATTTAAATCTATAAATTGAGAGGTGCAAAGGCATTTACATAGAACATCTGCACAAAAGTGCAGGAGTTCTAGTATAATCTCAAAAGCAAGTGTAGTGGAAAGACAACACGTAACATTTTTTGTTCAAAATGTTCAATACTAATCTTAAAAGACCCAACTGGATTAGTAGTAAAATACTATGAAGATCACAACTGATGGCATCCTCAGTAAACAACAGGTGCATTAAAAGTTATAGTGAGAACAACTACCATTGAAGGAATTCATAATCTCTGCTGACATTTCTGAAGTGCAACACAGAAGAACGATTAATACGTAACTTGGCTGCAGAAAATTGTTTCTCTTCTCTAACTATCATTTATAAATGTTGCATTTTAACAAACATAAAGCTATTATTCCATAAAGTGCAAACATCCCTTTCCCTCTGACAGTTTTTGGTGCCCTGGAATCAAATAGTTTGAAACTCTTCTTCAGCAACTACCATACTTACCTGAATCCAAAAATGACTCTGAATTTAAGATGACCCCGCAATTATTATTCTATACATGGAAAATTTATACACTTGTTATAATTTATAGACTCTAATTATTGCAGGGTCATCTTAAATTTGCTCCCCACACTGCTGCAGTGGGGAAAGCAGTGACAGTGGGAAGATGGTAGGGAAATCAGCCTCTGGATCCCCTCACACCACTGACTCTGCTCCAGCCCAGGGCATGGAGCACATGGTTACTCCAGTCTCAGCCTGGCCAGAGAGCAGTTGGTGCAGTGGCAGCAACTCCAACTGGGCCCCAGAGACAGGGATGGAGTTACTGCCACCTCCTCTGCTGCTATGTGGCCAAACTAGAACTGAAGCAAACATGCTCCATGCCGTAGACTAGAGCAGAACTGGAGCCACACTGGATCTGGAGGGTAAGTAGAAACTGTGGGTATGGGGAAGTAGAGGCAGCAAGGGGTAGCCAGTGGTTGCAACTGACAGCAGCCTACTTCCCTACCCCTGTCAGCAACTTGTACTCAAATCCAAGACAAGGGGCTTCCCCCCATGATAAAAGGGGGGGAAACCCTATCTTGGATTCGAGTAAATATGATATTTGTTCCACTGCATTTTTGTGCCTGAGGTTAAGTCTGCTGCAGAATAAAAGTTGTTCTTTAAACTTCTTCCTTTCAGTCAGTCTCCTCTTCTCAACAGTGAAAACTAAGAAGCCAGGCAGAGACAACATATATGATATGGCTAGGTCACAGAGCTCCCAAGAAGAACAAGATTATCAAAGACTTAAAGGAGAGAAGCTTAGAGGAAGACCTGCACAAAATTTTAAGCATTCAAGTGGAGTGAAAGACACCAAAAAATGGGATATTCTTTATAATATAGTTATCTAAGAAAATGGGATTACTGAGAGCCTAGGACAGGGGTGGGCAAATTCTGACCCACAGGCCGGATCTGGCCTCCAGGCGACTCCATTTCCCAGCAGCCCCTGCCTGCATGACTGTGGCTGGTCTTTATGGATACTCCAGCCACAGCTGTGCTGTGATACTGCAAGGCTGGGGTTGCCATGGAGATCAGCCCCAGCCACGCTGGCAAGGAGCACAGCAGGCCAGGGTAGGGAGCTGCTTCAGAGCAGCTGGGATCTTGTGATGGGGTCAGCTTGGTCTGGGTCCAGGGCAGAGCTGTGATCTACTGCCTGCATGTTCCAGGCAGGGGCACGCAGGCAATGGATTGCAGCTCTGCCCCAGCTTGGGACCACACTGTCACTGCTGCAAGGAGCCAGGGCAGAGCCACAATCTGCAGTCTGCACACTCCAGGAGGGGTGTGCAGTGTGCTCTGGCCCCAGACCAAGCTGCCCCCTCCGCAAGTTCCCAGAAGCTCTGGAGCAGCCCCCTGCTCTGCCCTGCCCTGCCAGCGTGGCTGGGGCTGATCTCCATGGCAACCCCAGCCTTGCACTATCACAGTGCAGCTGAGGCTGGGGTCTCCACAGACACTGGCCTCAGCCATGTGGGCAGGGGCTGCTGGGAAACAAGTCACACTGCCAGCCATTTCATCCACCCCTTGGTCTAGGACCACTATTCTATTTCTTGACTTTTCATACTAATTTTTTGTCCCCTCCCCCACAACAAGGTGGCATGATTAAATGCTTTCATGTATGCAACCTATACTTTCCTCCTCACATTCATCTCAAGGGAACATTCACTTGCAACCAAAAATGTACACATCCAGTAGCATCTCTCATAGTATTGCTCCAAAATGTATTAAGAGAAAGCTTGTACAAATTCTCTGTAAAGCCCCACAAGGGGAAGCTTGCTCTTTGTGTTCTAACAATGAAGACAACCAAATGAGCAAAATAATCTGTGCGCGCTACAAAGGTTAAGAAAATCAGTGCAAAACCCTCAGAGGGGAAGGGCTTGCCCCACACAGCACATAATAAAAGTGAGGCTGAGACCTCAACTCTGGGATTATTAGCCATTCTCTTGAGAGACCTTTCAAACCATCTTCCCTGTGACACCACACTATGGAATTCCCTGAAGCACATTTTCTAAAACTAAATAAGCCTAGACAAATGAATCCCAAATTTGGGGGTTTCTTTACCTACAGAAAGCAGTGCAGGCACTGAATCCTATGGTGTCACTGCAAGACAATCAAGGAGAGGTGAAAGCACTTAGCAGTGACATAGATCTCAAGCTTTTTAGACTCAAGACATCTCTTGTTAGACTCAAAGCACCCTTCAGAAAATACCACTCTTCACTTTCACTCATATCTTGACAATGGAAAGAATAACAGAGCAATTCTTCTGTTGCAAAGAACTCAGGAAGCCCACAACAGATCAGAATGTTTTTGGCACTCTACGTTCCTATTTGAAATCTCTGAGTTTACCTTGTGAATCATGTGTAGGTTTTTGCACACTTAACTGTGCTAATATTGCATGGTGCCCTGCAGCACCTCAGCATGCCATGGCACCCTGGTTGAGAATCATTGAGACACCAGTGGCATTTCTGAAGGGATGTGTGTATTGACAGTTGGAAAAGTACACACTTCAGTACCTGGGCATCAGGGGATGGAACCCCTCTATCTACTCCTCCAAGTCAGCCAGATTCTGGTACAGACTTTGCAATCCTTATAACCTGGCCCCTTGATGTCCCTCCTGCTTCCGTCCATTGCTTCCAACCCTTCTTAGACTGAGTATGAGCCAGCAGTGTGCCCCTGTTCCAAAGAAAGCTAACAGCATACTGGACTGCATTGGTAGATGTGTTGCCAGTAGGTCCAGGGAAGTGATTATTTAACATCTGCAAGCAGCCTCAGAGTAGCAACCAAATAAGGTACAAACATCAGTCAGTCATCTGCCTGAGCAGACCTGCTTCCAGTATGTTCAAAGTCAATGGTTCAACCAAGCCTGCCAGCCCATAACAAGCTAGCCAGACACACCAGTTTGTATACCCAACAGCACACAAGGACAAGGAAATGATGTTAACTAGCATCACATCCAGCCACCTTTGGCTCCCCAGACCAAATGACCAAGTACACATGTACAGTGGGGTCAGTTAGGTATATATCCAATGTGAGGCTCAAACTCTCAACTCTGGAGCTGTAGCAAGACACATTAACAGAGTGCCACTACCTGCTGGCACTTCTATCAGCCTGCAGTGAAGGAAATGGGTCCCTTCCTGTCTCTCCAAAATAACAACCGGAACCTTATTAACAGTTCCTAATGGTGTCACAGAGATATTCTCGGCCCACCACCAATAGCAAGACCAGCATTGGTGCAAAGTTACAGCTCCAACTGTCCATGAAATATACACTAGGCAGAGATATTTGGGGGGGTAATATCTTTTACTGGATCAGCTCCATGGCCAGGAGAGATTTTAGACAAGCTTTCGAGCACAAAGTGCTCTTCCTCAGGTGACCTGAAAACAATCCACAAGCACCTGTCAGATCTCATACCTAGGATCCTGATGCTGCTACCCCTCACTATTTATGGATTAAGATACACACGCACGCCTGATTTTTTTTCAGGTGATGGATTACATTACAACTCCCTGCCCCGTTTTGAGAAAATGTAGCCCCACATCCAAGTGCTAGAGCTCATACATAAATAAATCATTTCCCTTCATTCATTTGAGGCACATGCAAAGGAACAGCCTCATTAAAAGCTACATACCAAAAGTGGAGTCTCTGTCAGCTATCCATCTCAGAGCCCAATCTGCTTTCTTCTTGACACATGGCATTGTTTCAATCGCATTAAATAAAAACTCTCTATAAAATCGAAAAAAAGGAAGTATCAGAAGATTCTTTTGCAATGGTCTGTACTAACGTAGGAAGATTGGGATGCTACCATGTTAGGCACAGTGGGCATTTATACGCATGTTCTGGGAGTGGGGGGATGGAGGGGGCACTTTAATTAAACTGGCTCCAAGAGCTGCTTTAATTAAAGCACCTGGAGCACTTCATGTATCAGCATCCCTGCACTTCAAAATGGCGGGAGAGGCACTTTATCTAAAGCTCACTGAACGAGCTTTAGATCAAGCGCCCCCGCTACCACTTTGAAGCATGGGGGTGCTGATACCTGAGACAAGGGAGGCTGCTGGAGTGCAGTAATGGCTCTATTAATTGAGTCTCCTCTGACACACTGGAATTGCAGAGCATCAGAGCAGCCTCCCTGCTCATGTATAGGCACCCAGTGTGCACAGAGAATGAAAGAAAGTCCTACCTCAAAGACTACAACCATCTAAACACACAAGGGAACATGGGGAAGCAGATGCATAGAAAGGAGAAGTAACCTACACAAGGCCATGCAGTAGGTCAGTGGCAGAGACAGAAATACAACCCAAGTCTCCTGATCACCAATCCAGTCCCTGTCCACCAGACTGTTACCTGTTATTCTATGAGCAAAATGGTAACCAGGGAGTCCCACCCTCCTGCTGCCTATTTTTGCAGGCCCCAAATAGGCACGGGACACAGTTTCCCCAGAACACATACCATGATCCTGCCTAGCTTCAGTAACTGTTCTAAATACCTCAAAAGAGTGCAGAGTCACTTTGGAAGTGACTTTGTAGCTACTTCTCCCTTCCCCAGATGCCAGGGAGTTCCAGGAGACATTGGCTTCCCCGAGGCAATGAGAAAAATCACCCGGCAAGTGCAATAATGCATAACCAACCCCCCACTGAATCAGCCCCCAGCCACAGACCAACATTAAAAACCCCCAACTTTGATGATGATTTAAACTAGGCTGATACTATCATCCCGATTCAGGAATAAATGGCTACTGACATTCCCTGCAGCAGAGCAGGATACATCTGCACTCAAGGCAGCTGTCAGTGCACAAGGCAGTGTCAGTTCCTGCTGTGCTGATTGCAACAGCAGCTGCTTTTGCACTCCTCCAGGGTGACTGCTGTCCCAGCTGCTCCCCCCTAATCCCCTTCAGCTTCACTACCGGTCATTTTAAAAGGACATTTTGAAGAACAATGGAAACAAACTAGTTGTATGCAAGCGAAATGACAGAACTTCTTAGTAAAGCCTGTTAGCAAATAACTTTACACTGCAACATTTGACTAATAACTGAACTGATCTACCTTAGCTCAACCCTGAACTGAGACAAGAACTCAGTAGCAGCAACAGGTCTAACTAATTTTTAACATGTCATTTAGATTGCACACTACACATGCAGAACTCAGGACAAACATTAGCTAAACTTCATGAGATTCCCATGAGGTCAGCAGGCAAGTATCATTATTCCCAATTCCACAGAAGAGGAAAATAGGCTCAGAAAGTTTAAGTGCGTGGCCATGGGGAAAGTCATGTCAGCACAAAAGAAAGGCTAGCTGATACTGCCACACAGTACATGACTAGCCCAGGGGCAACACAGCTTGTAGTACTAGGTTCAGTGGCTCTGTGACAACATTAATAGAATTACCGTTTCTCAGGATCTTTGATGTAAGTGTCTATTAGCAGACTGTACATCTCTGAGTGAACATTCTCAATGAGAATCTGAAAACCATAGAAACAGCGAGCTTCTGGGATCTGTACTTCCTGGCTAAAACGTTCCACCTACCAAAAAAAATGCCTGTTAGGGTCTCAGTACTAGATGAGAGAATATTTTAAGCCTAAGAGGAAAACAATACAGCCCTGGCCTTGAAGAAAAAATGGGAACAGAGCAGTTAATTATTGCACGTGTATGCAAATACATAGGCAGGTTGTGGTGATGTTCTTTGGGAAGCAGTGGAAAAGAAAATTAAATAAATCTGCCTCTGTAGTCCTTATATAAAATGCGATCACCTGGTATGGTTATGCACCAAGGAACAAATCAGAATGTCTAAAACAGCAACAAGTTTTAATCACATGACAGTTCACAGGCCTGGGCTACACTAGAGTGCTGTCGCACAGTGTATCCACATCCACAGGACCCCAACTTTCTGCTGGCAGTTACACTAACTCTCTGACCAAAAAAGGCTTCTGATACCAACAAGCAGCTAGCAGAAGACATGTAGACATGCCTGGACCTTCTGCAGCCTGCCACAGTCCCTTCAGCTGCTGTGCCTTCCCAGAGGTAAACTTTGTACCCTGCCATCCCAGCTGATGAAGCACAGGTATGGAGAGCTGCCAGAAGCTACATGGGTGTCAAATACTCCAGCAACTTCCCTGCCAGCAGAAGCTCCATTGCAGACAAGGCCATGAAATATCTGTCACACAAAATTAAAGCATGTCACTCACTCACACACTCACCATATTAAAATCTATTCCCGGTGCATATTCCCAAGTTATACATACACAAGGTTCAGAATGGGTTATTTTCAGTCTTATATATATGATGGTTTAAGGCATGCTCTCCTGAAGCTCAGCAGGGCTAGAAGTGGCAGTTGTAGCATCAGAAAAACAGTTGCAGCATTTTAACGGTAAATACCACTTGCTTATAAACCTGGAGGATTCCAAGGTGCCCTCACCTTAACACAATATGTAGCAGGAGCCCCACTGATCTTTTAAAAAGGCTGTGCTAGGTAAAGATCATGCAATTTTACTGATTAAATGAGAAACACAGATGACCATGGTTCAGAACAGAGGATCTGAATGTGAGACTTCTTACCATCATATCAAGACATTGGCCTAAGTAGGACAAGTTGCTTAGATACCCAAGCAAAGATGAGATGATGGGGCACAGATACAATGCAACTATTAATTCAGAGTCATTTGATTATACTAAGCAAAAGAGAAATGAAAACTATTGCAAGTCAATGTGATGAAGGGCAAAACATTGTAAGTGGACCCACTGTAAAGATATCTTACCAGGTTTTCATTTACAATTCCATCACTGGCTGCAAAAAATGCCAGGATATGTGAAATAAAATATTTTTCTTCTGATTTCAACTTGTTCCAGTGAGGAAGGTCCTTTGACAAATCAACCTTATGGGATAAAAAGAAAGAATTAGAACACGATTGCCTTTTTAGTGATGATGATAACCCAAAATCGGGGGATGGGGGGGACTCCCACCACTGCTGGCCCGCTGAGCAACCCTTGCAAAGCCAGCAGGCCAAGGCACTTAAGGGAGCCCACCCCTGCCCCAGCCCTGGAACGAACTGTAGGCAAGGCAAAGGCCCCCAAGGGGAGACTTGCATGCCTATACACAAATGCCAGTAGCTTGAGGAACAAACAGGAGGAACTTGTCCTCCTGCTAAACACAAATAACTACGATGTCATAGGGATAACGGAAACCTGGTGGGACTCCACCTATGACTGGACCACAGGTATAGATGGCTATACTGTGTACAGGAGGGATCGAGTGGACAAAAGGGGTGTGGGCGTAGCTCTCTATGTCAAGGAAAATTACACATCCCTGCAAGCCAACATTGGCACCCACGGTGGACTCGAGACCCTCTGGGAACACGGCACAGGGGATACTATGGTGGGAGTCTACTACAGATCCCCTATCCAGGGTCAAGACCTTGACCAGGAGTTTGCCAGGGAATTGGCTGAGGCCGCACGCTCCTGGTGCATGGTTGTCATAGGAGACTTTAACTACTCAGACATCCCGTGGGAGGAGCACTCAGCCAAATCCGAGTGGTCGCAAAGCTTTCTCTCGTGTGTGGACCTCTATCTGACGCAGGAAGTCTATGGGCCAACGAGAAGTAAAGCGCTGCTCGACCTGGTACTGGCAACCGGGGATGACCTAATCAGCGACCCAATGATTGAAGTGAAGCTGGGTGACAGCGATCATGAGCTGATCACCTTTACCATCCATTTGTGTATAGGCATAAAGCTGGCAAGTCAGTCAGTAATACAGAAGTCCTCAACTTCAGGAAAGCTGACTTTGACAAGCTCAGGAGGCTTGTCAGTGAGGCCCTAAAGGGCCACAACCTGAAGGGGAAAGGGAGTTCAGGACGAGTGGTTGCTCCTCAAGGAAACAATCCTGGATGTGCAAGCAAAGTCTATCCCATCTCGGAGGAAAGGCAGCAAAAGGGCACAGCAGCCCCCTTGGCTCTCCAGGGAACTAGCGGACCTCCTGCCTCTTAAAAGGAAGACCTACAAAGGATGGAGGACTGGATCTGCCACCAAGGAGGAATACTCTGCTCTGGTCTGGTCCTGCAGAAAGCAAACTAGGAAAGCCAAGGCTGCGACAGAACTCCAGCTAGCTACAAATATTAAGGACAATAAAAAGTCCTTTTTTAGATATGTGGGGAGCCGGAGGAAAAGCAAGGGCAACACTGGACCCCTGCTAAACCAGATGGGACAACTGACAAGCAATGCCCATGAAAAAGCAAACTTGCTAAATGGGTACTTTGTGTCAATTTTTTACCAGTCCCATAGGATGCTCCCTGCGGGACAGGGAGGCCCGGGTGAGGGAGATTCCTTACCATCCACCATAGCTGACCTCGTGAAGAAACACCTTGACAGGCTGGATACCTTCAAGTCAGCCAGCCCTGACCGTTTACACCAAAGGGTACTCAAAGAGCTGGCAGACATCATAGCTCAGCCCCTGGCACGGATCTTTGAGAATTCCTGGCGCTCTGAAGTGCCCGACGACTGGAAGAAGGCCAATGTGGTGCCTATCTTCAAAAAAGGGAGGAAAGTGGATCTGGCAAACTACAGACCCATCAGCCTGACCTCTATCCTGGGGAAGGACTTGGAAAAGATTATCAAAGAGGCCATCCTATACAAGCTAGCTGACAGCAATATCCTGAGGGACACCCAGCACAGATTTGTTGCGGGTAGGTTTTGCCTGACCAACCTCATTTCCTTTTACGACCAGGTGACCTATCACCTGGACAAGGGGGAAGAGATTGATGTCATATATCTTGACTTTAAAAAAGCCTTCAATCTGGTATCCCACAATCAATTCTTGGCAAAACTGGCTAACTGCGGTCTTGACCTCACCACGATCCACTGGCTCGGGAACTGGCTCCACGGTAGGACCCAGAGGGTGGTGGGTTGATGGAAGTCAATTGTCGTGGTGCCCAGTGACCAGTGGGGTCCCTTCATGGCTCTATCCTAGGGCCTTTACTTTTTAACATCTTCATCAATGATGCAGACATTGGTGTCAGAAGCGGGCTGGCCAAGGTTGCCAATGACACCAAACTCTGGGGAAAAGCATCCACACCTGAGGACAGGAGGGTGATCCAGGAAGATTGTGACAGGCTCATGAAGTGGGTGGATGAGAACCTGATGGTGTTTAACACTAAAAAATGCAAGGTTCTCCACCTTGGGAGGAAAAACCTGCAGCATCCTTATAGGCTCGGCAGTGCTACTCTGGTTAGCACTACAGATGAAAGGGACTTGGGGGTCATGATTGACCACAAGATGAACATGAGCCTTCAATGTGATGCTGCAGCTAGTAAAGCAAGCAAAACGCTGGCTTGCATCCATAGATGCTTCTCAAGCAAATCCCGGGACGTCATTCTCCCCTTGTACTTGGCCTTGGTGAGGCCGCAGCTGGAGTACTGCGTCCAGTTTTGAGCTCCACAATTCAAAAAGGATGTGGAGAAGGTTGAGAGAGTCCAGAGGAGAGCCAAGCATATGATCAGAGGTCAGGAAAACAGACCTTATGATGAGAGGCCGAGAGCCATGGGGCTCTTCAGTCTGGAAAAGCGCAGGCTCAGAGGTGATCTGGCCACCTATAAGTTTATTAGGGGTGTTCACCAGGATCTGGGGGAATGTCTGTTCACCAGAGCGCCCCAAGGGATGACAAGATCAAATGGTCACAAACTTCTCTGCGACTGTTTCAGGCTGGACACAAGGAAGAACTTCTTTACTGTCCGAGCCCCCGAGGTCTGGAATAGACTGCTGCCGGAGGTGGTTCAAGCACCCACTTTGAACGCCTTTAAGACACTTTTAGATATTTATTTTGCTGGGATCCTATGATCCCTGCTGACTTCCTGCCCCTGGGCAGGGGGCTGGACTTGATGATCCTCCGGGGTCCCTTCCAGCCCGAATGTCTATGAAATCAATGAAATCTATGAAAATAAAAAAGGAAGAAATGGTGCAAGTGTAATTGCAGACCAACCCTCCAAACATTCAGAGATGTTGTTTACATTTGTAATTAACTTAAATCAAGTACATAGTAACTATGCAGTCCAATGGCCTCTGCCACTGTAACATGAAGTGATTTTAATTTTTAACTAGAATTGTTTTCTTCATGCACAAAAGCCTATCTTCTGCAATCTTAAAAAAATACAGGACAATAGGAAAGTAAGTCTTGAAACAACTTCATGAGGCTAGTCCAGCTCCCTACTCAAGGAAAGACTGTCCCTGACTAAACCATCCCAGCCAAGTGTCTGTCTAGCTTGCTCTTGAAAATTTCCAAGGATAGAGATTCTACAGCTTCTCTCAGTAGCCTGTCCCAATGTTCGACCACCATCAGAGTCAGAAGGTTCTTCCTGATCACCAACCTAAATTGCCTCTGCTGCAGGTTTGAGGATACTGCTCCTCATTTAGGCCCCTGGCAGACATTCAATTAAAGATGTGAGGGGATCTGATCTGCGATTCCAGCAACCATGCTTCCTGCCATGCTACAGGAGGCATGACTGGGGATAAAATCCAAATCACACCATATTGCTGGGGGAGAGGGAGTCTTGGATTATAATCTCAAAATCCTCCTGTGTCAGCAAGTAGCGAGCCAGTCAGATGATCACAAGCAGAGTAAACCAGCAGAGCAAGCCAGTCGAGGGCTCAAAGGCACCCATCAGGCTGGGAGCCACAAACAGCTAATCTGTCTGGCTACATGTACAATTTAAGGCACGATGGGAACCAGCCACAAAGTTATGCATTTTATTTAATAACGTTGTGGCTCATTCCTGTTTTATTGTACCAGTAACTGCATGAACATGTGGTCGGGTTACTACATAAGATGTGATTTGCTGTTAATCATGGCTTGAGTTTAACATCTGGCAGAGACTTAGAGTCACAGCATGAACACAAGGGCTAATATGTCTACAAAGATATTACTAGATAAAACTAGAACTTAATTTGCTTTTACACAGTAAATTTCATCTGTTTATGAAGCACCTCAGGATGAAAATGCAATAGAATAGGAACTGGCAATATTTTCCAGCAGCAGGGGGCTGGAATGACCTAGTTTGGGTCCAAGAAAGGTAGGTACTAGGACCTGTCTGGCATGTCTTACTGCAGCATCAGAGTCCTTGCTCTGTGGGTCAGATCCAGCCCAAAGGCCAGAAATTGCCAACTCCTACTATACAAACACTATCTCTGGAGTTCCCACACTTTGTCCAGCTTTATCTCCATTCACCCTAAAAATTATTTCATGTAACCCCATGTACACAATCGCTGGTGTTTGCATACCATAACTGACCTGGGGATTTTCTGGGTTGATTACTTGTCTGCTTACTGTTACACCGCAGTGAAAGCTAAACTGCGACTACCTACCCATAGGTGAAGCAGGGTTAAGTTGCCCATGCTCATCTTCCCTTATGGAATAGAAGCAGACGTAGGAACACAGAAACTGTTTACATGCCTCCAAATGACAGAGGACAGGGACTCAATGCTCCTCAGCTGCTTAGTGGTAAGTTACTGCAATTACCCTGGCAAATAAGAACATTATACTGGGGCAATTTCTCCCTGTTTGGCTCTCACTGCAGGGCAACTGCAGATATGGCAACAGTCACAGCAGAACAGCTGTGGCACAATACAGCTTTGCCTTCCTGTTACTTTGGGCAACACAGGGAAATTGCAGGCTTAGGGGAGTTAGAGACTGTGAGATTTATGATCCCACTGGCAATTGCTGTAATCCTTTAGTCTGAAATTGCTAATACACATTTAGCTGAAAATAAATGCCTGCACACATGTGCCCGCCCACACACACACACACACACTGTACTAAAGCATCAGGATTTCAAAGCCTGAATAGATGCCAATAACCAGAGCTAGTTTCAATGCATCTTTAAACTATACTTGCAATAAGCAACATTTTTTGTAAGACGTTTGTAACCTAGAATACTGTCAAGTTCCCAGGTGGCATTTTTTTTTAATTTGTGATGTTTATTTTCTACCATACAGGTATTATTGTGTGCCTGCCCTCCTCTCAGACTGCAAATTCTGACTGGGGTAGAAAACCACAGCTTCCTTCACATGGGCAGGCTTTTTGCTTTTAAATTACAGTGGCAGTTAAGTAAGGCCAGATGTGAAAGCAATAAGAAACTGGGGGGTGGGGGGAGTTTGCAGTTAGATTCCCCAATTCATTTCAGCAAGTCTCCTGTGTACCTACAGGAGCTAAAGACAGTGAGACATGGAAGTAGAAGTGTGACACAAGGCCTTTTCACCTTTGATCTTAAGCTCAAATGCAATTCAGGGTCTAAATCTGAACCCACAGAAGTAGAAATATAAAGAATAGAGAACTGGGTTGCATGCAAGTAGAAACTGAAATTCAATTTTTCCAGAGCTGGCAATTGAAGCAAATAGATATTTTGATCCATTTCCCAACAATCAGACCTAAATCACAAGAGCCACCAATAAAAATGGGCTACAGATAATAAGACTTGCATCAAAGATTAAAAGAGCACAGTGTCTGAACAGGTCACTCACCCTATAAGGGAGGCCTGGGGCTCTAGAAAAGGGGAGCGCTGAGAAGTGTGTACTGCTGTACCCTTTGGCTTGTAGTTGGAAAAGACCACATTGCCAGGGTTGTCTATATCAAGCACCTTCAGTAAAATTTAACTATCTTAACTTCTAAGATTTAATTAAAAGTCACATACATAACTCTATTATGCAGGAAGGAATACTTAATGCAATTCATAGTAAGTATCTATTATAACAGCAGTAACTGATTACTTTTGTCTGCCTGAAAACAAACACACAAGTAGCACTTAAAAAGAACATTTTCATCCATAGTGCTCAAAGCATTTTACAAGTGAATGAAGGCCCAAAAAATCCTAGCGATGCCTCTGAGGTCACAGACAATCTGTTGGTACCACAGCCTGGAACAAATATATTGTTCCTTCTCACTGAGCTGCATCACTCACCTCTTCTGCTGTCCAGAAGGATGCTTGTGCCTGTTTATACATTTTCCATATATCGGGGTACTGGATAGGGAAGATGACAAATCGACGAGGATTTTTTCGAAGAAGAGGCTCTTCACTTGCTTTAAAACCATTTTCAATAGTGTTTGAAGAGGAACTCTGCAGGAAAAGCATCATATCATTTAGAGATACTATTTCCCATTATTCCTCAAATATTAACTTACTTTTGCTACTTTTTTCCAGAGAGGTTACAGATTTAAAAATACTCCTTTGTATTGTATCAAGATGTACATATGCCTAATAAGAATAGCCACGTGATCTTTACCTTCCTTCCCTTTCCCTCCATCTTTTTGATGCCCAAGCTTGATGATCTGCCTCTCTCTGTGTGGCCCTATCTAGCATAATTTAATGACATTTTCCCCCTACCAGGTGCAACATTGTCAGGAAATGTCTGCGGTTCAGTGCAAAAGAGAAAGTCTGTCTCTGGGGAAACTGCACTCACTTGCACCCAGCTCAGATGTACCGCAGCGAACACAACATGCATGGACACGTGCAAAGTCACTTCATCCCAACTACCAACCTGCATCTAGCACAGCTACTTGCGGTTCAACTCCAGAACATCATACAAGATTTCCTTCAGAATTTCTCCACATTACAGATCATGTGTCTATGCACAAGCTGTTCAAAATGAATTAATTTGACATCTCAGATGCAATAAATACTCCGATTCGTAAAAAAAGCAGTACTTTCCAGGGATTTGCTTGCTTTAAGCCTGTGCCGATACACTCCTAATTGCTCCACGTTTAGTGGTCCTCCCATTGCCATACCACAGTGCACTGCCTCACATTTGGGTTCATCCATCTGTATGTCCCTCCACTAGTCTTGGGTTCCCTTGACCAGGTTTCACCTTGCTTTAAATGCTCCCATATATAGCCCTTCTAATACCAAGACCTGGGAAATTCATACATCTGGAGTCACAGACACTGCAGCAGTCACCCCACCCATCCTCTGCCTAGTCACACACCCTTGCAGAGCTCTTGGACCCAACTGCCTTCTGGGAGTGCTGCATGTCCAGGCCACTCCAAAGAGGAGTTAGTGGACTGCAGACATCTGTGTGTTCCACCTCAGGTCATCCAAACCCAGAAATGCAATACTGAGACCATGTCAGTGTCCCACTCCAGCTGCTCTAGAGGCCTCAGTTTCCAGTGTACTTGAGAACAGCTGCAGAAGGATGTCCCAATCAACATAAGCATCAATATATTTCCAGATTAAATGTATGCGAGTGGGAAGAAAAAGCTTAGGAATGGGAGCTGGAAGACACCAACAACTAGACTATATACCCAATTGTATCCATACATGAAACTTAATATTTTTTCCCTGAAGAAAAAAAAAAAAAAAAAAAAAAAAAAAAAATCAAATCTCACAGACACCAGTACCACAGAACAACAGACATGTTTATTGTAGCAGCAGATATAGAATGAAAAGTAATTCAGGAGAAAATGGTCTAGGACTATTGTTTAATCAACACACTAAGATTTTATGTATAATTCAATGACAAGGCAAAAACTCCTCAAAAAATTCAAAGACATTTTTAATAGCTTAATAGGAAGGTTTGGCACACCTAGAGCAGTAGAGAGGCTGCAGACCCCGGCACAGAACAAAGGCTTCTCAACCGTTACACACGCAAGGATCCCCTCTAACTTTTCTGAATGCACTAACACCCCATTTGTAAACCACTAGCTTAGAGTGCACTTGGTATGCTTTGGCACTCATTTTGTCTTATACAATGTAGTAGGGATAAAACCAAAAGTTCTAAAATAATTAAGTGCATAAAACAAATCAGGCTAAAAGCTATGCACATAAATGAGAGCACTAGCTTTGATATCCTTTGTAGAATTTTAAAATCACATAAGAGATGTCCCTATTATAGACTCATCTTGGTTCATTTAGAAATCTGTAAAAAAGGTATCCCTCCTGATTACTTTCAATTGGAGTTTTTTTTAGCCTAATTTCTTTCCATCTAATACCCTTCCTTATGAAATACTTAGCTCTGCTTGACAAAATCCTGTTGTTTTCCAGTGTAAATCGATAAATTTCTATGAGAAATACTGATTGAAGAAAACAATTTAGTTGGGCTAAAACACCAGAGGACCACAACTTCAGTTTGATTCTCCTTACATTAGAACCTATCCTATTTGCGCTGGTTCCCATTTGCTGGTCCTCAGAGGTGTTTACAAGGTACCCCTGGTCAGCATGCAAATAAATCTGGTTTTGCACAAGGGATTCACTGGAGCCCTGATCCACATATATCATTCCTCAACTCCTTCCCCAGGCACCTTGCAGGGCTACAACAAGCAAAAACAGCCCAGTACCCACTGTGTCCTGGGGGGAGAATTTCTTGGAGCTCCCTCCCCTCAAGGTGTTTCCTCATCCAAGGTGCTGTAATTACAGTGCGTTGGAGCAGCCTCATTGCATGTGTAAAAGCACCCAGTGCCCAATTAGTGTTTTCCAGAATTATTTTCCATCTGGTAGATGAGCACAAGCAGTGTACATGAAAAACCTTTGATTATTTTACTCTGCATAATCATGTAATTCGTATATAGTGACTACTCTGAACTTTTATGGTAATATTTTGTACATTAAACATTTATCTGTATGTAGGGAGCTTGGGGTTCCTGCTGCTTTAAGGAAAGACGAGATGCAGATGACTCAGAAGGGAATTAAATGAACCGTATGACCCAAAAAGGGCTGAGTCTGCATTGTATAAGCCCAGGGCCAGAGCTGGGAGGGCAATCTAGCTCTGGGAGCCATAGAAAAGCTTGAATCCAGAGGACAAGAATGGCAGACCTTATGAGAAGAGGCCGAGAGGCATGGGACTCTTCAACCTGGAGAAGCAAAGGCTCAGGAGGGACTTGGTGGCAGCCTATAAGTACATAAGGGATCTGGGAGAACGTCTGTTCACCAGGGCACCCCAAGGGACAAGGAGGTCACAAACTGCTGGAAGACCATTTTAGGCTGGACATGAGGAAAAACTTCACTGTCTGAGCCCCCAAAAGTGGTGCAAGCACCTGCTCTGGACACTTTTAAAAAACACTTGGGTGCTTCTCATCCTGCTGGGATCCTTTGACCCCAGCTGACTTCCTGCCCCTGGCGCAGGGGGCTGGATCCGATGATCTTGCGAGGTCCCTTCCAGCCCGACTGTCTATGAATGCACGACAGCAATCTACCACCATGAGGGTGCCCGCCCCGGTCTCCCCTTAATCGCTGCGGCGACTCGGATGTTTCTACCTGCTGACGTAGCCGTGCAAGGGGCCGGGGAAGGCGACGAGGAAATGGTATCTACGGATCAGAGCGCCAGTGAATCCCTTGTTGTGCAAAACCGGGCTATTACCCGGGCTCCCCCCCACCTCTAAC